AAAGGAGAAATGGAGGGGAGGAGAGGGGAAGAAGGAGGGGAGAGGGAGGGGGTGGAAAGGGGAAAAGGGTGTATCTAAATTCTATGTACTCAATTCTTATCCCATTTTGTTTTGGATCCTTCTTAATGAGGCTCTAGATATCACTAGTCAATTGAGATTTCCCTTGTTTAAGTTTAATGGTCATCTCTCCATTCTCATCCACAGCATTCAGCCACTCCCTCCTACATTCCCTCCCTTCACTGGCCTGCCATGTCTCCAAAGTTTTCCCTCATCTTTCAGACCTGTTAATACTGCAGTCCCAGTTCTTTAGCCCCCAACTTCTTTCTCTCTGTGTCTCTGTCTTTCTCTTCTGGGATCAGTGTCTTTAGAGTCAGGGTTCCTACAAATAGCCTTGACTTTACCTCTCCCCATAATGAATCCTCAATCCCAATGTTTTTTCAATTCCCCTTGGATCTCCTCCAGTGTACCTGGAGTTAGGGAGCCAGACCTTTAGCTCTTAACCACACCTGAGAATGTGAGCCCAGGAGCCTGGGTCCCACCAGGCAAGAATGCTGAGGAGCCCAGCACCAGTGACCCATGCCTGTAATCCTATCTACTTGGGAGGCTGCAATCTGAGGATTGCAGTTCAAAGCCAGGCTTTGCAGCAAAATCCAGCCAACTCTTATCTCCAATTAATCACACACACACACACACACACACACACACACACAGTTGGAAGAAGAGCTGTGGCATAAGTGGCAGAGTGCTAGCCTTGAAGGAAAAACAAAAGCTTAATGACAGTGCCCAGGCCCTGAGTTCAAGCCCCAGGACCGGCACATGCATGCGCACATGCACACACACTCATCAGAATTTCATCATGCTTTAAAATATGTCTATCTGAGTCACCCTAGCGAGCTCACTAGGTTGCTGTCTGTGCTGGCACATCCTCCCGTTGACTCCCTCTCCCCAGTACCCACCTGACCTCCGAGCAGGTCTAAGGCAGCGGTTCTGCTTGCTACATGTCCCAGATCTTCACAAGCTTTGGTGCAGCAAGAACACAGGGGCTTTCTGTCCACATTTCTGCACATCCCCTCCACATTCTAGCACAGACTGACTGTATTCACTTGCCTCCATCCACAAAGATTGTAGAAAGGGGATGCAACACAAGTGTACAGGTGACAGGTAATCCACCAACGACAGCCAAGAAAAGCAGAAGATCAGTAGGGGCACAGTCCTAAAAACAGATGGATTGCTATCCTCTGACCATACCACGAGGCTGACAAGATCTCCACAGACTCCACCCCAGAGCAAAGCTGGGTCTGCCTGAGCTGAGAAAACTGCAGCTGGCTTCTCCGATCAGAGACAAGCTCTGCTTTCCCAGGCCTTAGTCCAAGTGCAAGAAAAACCAATTCTGAAGGACACAAACTGGTCACCAGAAAGCATTGTATTCTCTCTGTTCGCCAAACTATATAAATAGCCTGTTATTTCTACCCTCTGTGTTTTATATACCAGGCTCTTAATCTTTCTAAAATCTGAACTATTTGAGAATAAGGCCTGGATAAACAAGGTCTCTGTCTTGCTTTATTTCAGTTCAACTTAGCTAACTAGAGCTGGACCTTCCAAAATGCCAGACAGAAAATAAATACTGATCTTTTTTTTTTTTTTTTTCCTCCCCCAGCTCTTTTCATTCTTCCCAGTGTCCTTTCTGCTTTCAATTTTGCTTTGGCCTTTGGGTATTCATCGATCTCAGGTTCTTTTTATCCTCTCATTTCTATGTCAAAACATTCTGGTTTGGATCCACTTACCCAACTTGGTGTTGGCATATGCCTGGTCCCACCTGCCTGTCTCGGTTTTCACTAAGGCCCGAAACCTTCTGCCTGCTGAGAGGCCACTCTGAGAGGCCATGCAAGGCGGGCAGCACTGATTCTCTGGGGTGCCCCATTTCTCAGGGCACCGCCTCCGCTCCTCCTGTTTGTTTACCATGGAGACAGCAGTTGGGTATAACATGTGTTTATGATGAGGCTGGAAGTACGCTGCCTTGGGATACCAAGGAGAAAAATAGAAGCTGCTATTTATGTTGGGGTACCAAAACTAAAAACATAAGCAGCAGGTAATGAGCATCAGAGGTGTGAACAATCTATAAAGCGCCAGAAAATCACAGGCTCTTTTTCTACACATAGTCTAACCCACAATTAGAGGAAGAGAACAGAGGGACAGAGATCTGATAGCAACCACTCAGAACAATCATGATGAATAGCTTTCAAATCCACACTGCTGTCTAATAAAAGGACTTCTGATGAATCTCAGAAAAAAAAAACAAACATTTTATGTGCGAGTCCTGAGTCTTGAACTCAGGGCCTAGGCACTGTCCCTGAGCTTCTGTGCTCAAGGCTAGTGCTCTACCTCTTGAGCCACAGTTCCACTTCCAGCTTATTTGGGTGATTAAGTGGAGAAAAAGAGTCTTATGTGCCTTTTTGCCCAGGCTGGCTTTGAACTACCACCTTTAGATCTCAGCCCTGAGTAGCCAGAATACAGGCATGAGCCACCAGTGACAGGCATTGTGAAAATCTTTTAAAAGAGCATTTGGCTTAAGAATATCCTTCTGGCTTAAATGGCCTCAGAGTGATGGTTAAAAGAAATCTCTCCAGAGAGTGAATATTTTCAGAGACCTTATGTTATTTCCACAACCATTCCTAGTATAGACTACTGATGGGTAGTAATTAAAATGTAGATTCCAAGAAGTTAATGGTAGCCAGGAGCTAGTGACTCATGCCTAATAATCCTAGCTACTTAGAAGAGTGGAATCCGAGGATCATAGTTTGAATACAGCCTGGGCAGGAAAGTCTGTAAGACTCTTATCTCCTATTGGCCACCAAAAGCCAGAAGTGGAGCTGTGGCTCCACAGGTAGAGCACTAGTCTTGAGTAAAATACTCTAAGCAAGAGGCCCTCAGTTCAAGCCCCATCATGGGCACCAAAAATTTTTTAAAGGGTAGAAGGGGGAGAATGAGGGAAGAGGTGATACTGCTCAAGATGCATTGCACTCATATACTTATATGTTTAACTGAAACCCCTTTATATAACTACTTAGAGATTAATGAGCCAGGTGCTGGTAGCTCACGCTTATAATCCTACTCAGAAGGCTGAGATCTAAGGATGGAAGCTCAAAGCCAGCCCAGACAGGAAAGTCTGTAAAACTCTTATCTCCAATTAACCACCAAAAAGCTAGAGGTGGAGCTATGGCTCATGTAGTAGAGTGCTCGTCTTGAGCACAAAGGTACAGGGACACCCCTCCCCCCCCCCAAATACACACACATACACACACACATATTTAAGGAGTGACTCTGAGTTTGTATCAGTATCCTACTCAAATCTGAAACGTGTGAATTCTGCTTTTGGAATCTAGCTGCAAAAAGCACAAAACTGCTCTGTTTTTTAAGACACGGGAGTCCTGGTAAGCAGTCACAATTTTCCTTCACTGAAAATCTCATTGCATATAATGGAGAAGTCACTGAATACTATGTCTTTCTATTATACCCAAGTGATTTTCCCAGTAGGCGACCAGCAGCTACACCACAGGAGAGCCTCAGACTTGGAACAAAAATGGCACTGGGGATCATTTCATATGCAATCCTTTCTTCAGTCTGGAGCCCTGGCTGGTTTTCTTTACTCTTGGTTGAACTGAGTGGGAAATCCATAAAGTGTGAACAGAAAAGACTTTATCAATAATGCAATCCTGCTCTGCTGATTACCGGAGGGACAAATGTCTATTGTACTTGGAAAACACAAAACAACAAAAGATCTTGGCATTGCTAAAGCGAATGGCTGACATGCCATTTCGAGGGAACAAAGCTCAGTGAATCCAGGTGAATGCTGGCACACTTTCTCCCCACATCTGGAGTCATAAACAGGCCCCCGAGTCAGAGGACCACCTCTCCCTTTCCCATCTCCTCTCTCCACTTGAGCTGCTATTAAAAAAAAAAAATCTATTTAGTGAAGGCCATTTGGCAAGGTATCCTGCATGCTTCATTTTCTTTAAACAAGGCATTAATAAAATCACAGTAGCATCTAATAAGATTTTTAATTCCTTAAGGGTGGAAACCATGGCAATCTTTAATGAGTCTAATTGAGTGGGAGCATATTAGTTCTCTTGGACAGAACAAACCACAGACCACTCCTTGGTTTTACAACGTATTACCGAAGGTTCCAGAAGGACATGAAGAATCATGCTAGTCCACTATAAATGACCAGCACTGGTCAACACAGGCTATGTGCTCAATAAAGAACGAGGTCCAGAGTTACTAAGAGCAAAAACTGGAAGCAGCACAATCCATGAATGTGATTTTGCACCAGTACTGGGGCTTGAACAAAGGGCCTGGGCACTGTCCTTGAGCTTTTCTGCTCAAGACTGGCACTATAGTTCCACTTCCAGTTTTTTGGAAGTTAATTGGAGATAAGAGCCTGGGCTGGCCTCAAACCCAAATCCTCAGATCTCAACTTCCTGAGTAGCAAGGATCACACTGGAACCCAGTGTGAAACCCAGTGTGGAACCCAGCATGAAGTTTTTTTGTTTGTTTTTTGGGTCTGGTCTTGGGGCCTGAACTCTGGGCCCGGGTGCTGTCCCTCAGCTCTTCAGCTCAAGGTTAGCGCTCTACCACTTGAGCCACAGCACCACTTCTGGCTTTTTTCTTTATGCTTATATGGTGTTGAGGAATCGAACCCAGGGCCTCATGCATGCAAGGCAAGCGCTCTACCATTGAGCCACCTTCCCGAAGTCGGAGTTTTGAGAACACGTTTCTGTTTTACTCCTGAAGGAGTTTCTATTTGCAGTTCTCAGAGTAGTGAGAAAACTAGCTTCCTATCTCTTGCAATGCCAAGATACTCAGACACCACAGCCTTTAACACAGCCCCTGCTACAGCTGCAGCCAGTGAACAGGAGAATTCTCTGAAGGAACCTTTCCCTCTCCCTTGGGTAGGAACTTCCAGCTAAGCAATATATTTAAGATGAAGCAGCAGTACTCACAAAATCCGGGGTTCGGAAATCCTGCTGACCCTCCAGTGATCCACAATTGGGGATGATTGTCCGTTCAAAGTTTTCCAACACTGAAGATAAATGGAGAAATAAATGAATACAATAGGAGGCATAAAGCATAGCTCTATTTAAAATAGCCCACAGAAGCAACTATGTATATTTAGCATAGGCAGTACACTTGCAGTCGACATTATTTAATGCTTTCAAGCTTAGTAAGGATACCCAAAATCTTCAGCAACTGTTTCATCCATGGATAACGCCATGCTGGTAAACATACTAGGTCTTGCACAGTGCCAGTGGCTCACACCTACAATCCCAGCTACTTAGGAGACTGAGATCTGAAGATGGAGGTTTGAAGATCCATGGGCAAGAAAATTTGGGAGACTCTCATCTCCAATTAACCACCAAAAAGCTGGAAGTAGAGGTGTGGCTCAAGTGGTAGAATGCCAGCGTTGAGAGAAAAAGCCAAGTAAGGCTGTGAGATCCTAAGTTCAAGCCCTGGTACTGGCATGGAAGAAAGGGAACGGAAAGCAAAGGACAGGGGGAATAGGGAAGAAAGAGGAAAAGAGGATGGGCTGGGAAGTTGGCTCAGTGGTAGAGCGCTTGCCTTGCATGCCTGAGGCCCTGGGTTTGATTCCTCAGCACCACATAAGCAAAAAGCCGGAGGCGGTGCTGTGGCTCAAGTGGTAGAGCGCTAGCCTTGAGCTGAAGAGCTGAGGGACAGCGCCCAGGCCCAGAGTTCAGACCCCACGATCGGACCCAAAAAAAAAAAAAAGGAAGAGGAAAAGAGGGGAAGGGGGAAAGGGGAAGGGGAAGGGGATAGGGAAGAAAGAAGAAAAGGAGGGACAGAAAAAGGAAAAGAAAAAAAGGGAGGGGGAAGGGGAGGGGGAGGGGGGAAGAAATCCCATCATGGTATTTATGATATATTCTTTTATGTCAAAACCGCAAGCCAATAAAATGTAATGCCTATATACAGTTTGATATGAGTACTATAAAACTGATAGCTAGATGTCAGAATGATGTCACCCTTTCTCTATAATTTTATAACCAAGTTATGTGCACTGTATCTAATGGACAGAGCTGTAATAGTTGATTTTCCTTCCTTTCCCTTTGGAAGGGAATCCGAAAGCCTTCAAAGTATGCATTTTGCTTGTAGACAGGGGAGATACAAGATGCCTTTATTATCCAGATGTTGTATTAAATTAAAGGTATCTATGCTGCCTGAAAGGATTTGTGATAGAGAAAAAAGGAAGTATTTATAGTTCTAGCTATTCTTCTGGTAATGGAAATGAACAGATTTCCTGGTTCATGTCCACACAGAGCCAAAAGCTAACTTTCAGTGAATCAAAATAGAAATGGCTTCATGAAAACAACCAATCAGGTAGAACAAAGCCACAGCTGGTCATCTCACCACCTAATATCATACTGAGATGGCAAAAGACTTCTGATGCTAATATGATAATTATGCTTCCATTATTGCAGGGCACCAGAAATTGTGGAATTATCATTTCTGGTAATCTGACCTAAAAAAAAAAAAATCATGCCTGGCCCCAGTGCTCACACTTGTAAACCTAGCTACTCAGGAGACGGAGATCTGAGGATCACAGTTAAAAGCCAGCCCGGGCAGGAAAGTCTGTGCGACCCTTATTTCCAATTAACTACCAGAAAACCAGAAATGGATCTGTGACTCAAGTGGTAGAGCATTAGCCTTGAGCAAAAGAGCTTAGGGACAGAGCCCAGGCCCCAAGTTCAAGCCCCACAACCACAAAACAAAACAAAAAAAAAAATCATGTACTAGCAAAAATAAAATAGTCAAAATTAAGGTGGCACTTTGAAGTCTTTAGGTTAAAATAGAATTGGAAGGGATTCTGAAAAGGTAAATGTTACTTTTGTTGATTAAAAATCAGCTTTTCCTGGGGGTGGGAAGGTGGCTCAGTGGTAGAGTGCTTGCCTTGCATACATGAGGCCTTGGGTTCGATTCCTCAGCAGAAAAAGCTGGACATGGCGCTGTGGCTCAAGTGGTAGAGCGCTAGCCTTGAGCTGAAGAGCTGAGGGACAGCACCTAGGCCCACAGTTCAGGCCCCATGACATACAAAAAAAAAAAAAAATCAGCTTTTCTTAATATCTTTTAAAATGTATTTGCTTTTTTGTGTGTGCCTTTCAAATGTATTTTCAAGACTGTATATATTTCCTGTGTTAGAAAAAAAAGTAAGTACTATCTTGAACTGTATCATTAGTTCATTTAATTTCCGCACTTAGAACATAAAAATATTTGGGAACTCTCTGTCACATGTTCAGGCCCACAAGTCTGGAAAACTACTCTAATACAACAAAAGTTTAAGAAGAGCTTTGAAGCTGGATCTGGTGGCTCACACCTGTAATCCTAGCTACTCAAGAGGCTAAGATCTGAAGACTAAGGTTCAACACCAGTCTAGTTAGGAAAGTCTGTGAGACTCTTATCTCCTATCAACCACCAAAAAGCCAAAAGTGGAGCTATAACTTAACTAGTAAGAGTTCTGGCCTGGACAGCATCTAGGCCCTGAGTTCAAACTCCAGCACCAGCACTAAAAAAAGGAAAAAAAGAGTGCTTTGCCTAGCATGTTCAAGGCCTTGGACTTGATTCCCAGAATCACAGAGAAGGGGAGGGATGGTGTAGGTATGTTTATTTTTTCATTCAATCGTTTCTTTTGGATTTTTAAGCTACGATCTCTCTGTACAGCCCAGACATTCCCAAAATTTGTAATTCTGTGCCAGTCCTTGAGAACTGGGATTACAGGTGAACCATCAAGCTTGGCTGAGAGAGTGTATTTTTTAAATCTTAGAATAATAAGATTGAAACACTCAAGCATCAATAAAGGCAGTACTGGCTCTGACTCACTTATTTCGCATTCTAAAATCAGAGGCCCCATAAAAATATCTAGAGGCCTGGTCATTGTAATAGGTTAACATTATGAGGACATGAACCAAAAGACGCACTGCACATGGTCACCTAATCCACCGATTAAAAATGGAGCAACAAAAATCTACTATCCCGATTGTGAAACTGAGAGATAACCTATACCATGCCCATAAGAAGATACATTATCTCCAACTTTATAACTTAGATAATTATAGCTCACCCATCAGAAAACAGAAAACAGCAGCAAACTCATGGGTCAAAAACCAAAGTGCTTGATAAAGCAGAGCCCCAGAGAGGAAGGTAACCAGAATCAGGCAGGGATATTTATCTAACCTTAGAGCACCACATGGCAGATAGATGGGCTGGGTTCTCATGATTTATTTATTATGGTGATTGGTAGCCGTTGAGATAATCAGAAACACCATAAATACATGAGTAAGAACAGGTAAGATTATAAAAGGACATGAACTGGAGGTGAACCACAGAGAGAGCGTGTATTGCCTAACATTCGCACTCAACTCCTAGCACCACAAATATATTTATGTGCATGTGTGTACATATATGTAAATGTATGTGTGTACATATATACACACATATATATATACATATGTACATATATACACATATAGGCACGCATGCATGCACACACATACCACGTCACAGTACAAAGGGCACTAGTTATAAACTAAGGGCACTGAATAGGTTCCGGTTCTCACTCAATAATTCTTCTGCTGCTTGATTACATAATCTTGGGTTTACTTACTTTCCATTTATCTGATGCTAGTGATAACATTACTCTGGTAATCTCATGAGGTTGTGCAAAGATAGACATGACCATTCAAAACCATGTCGTAAGAAAAATAAAGCACTCTGCAAAGAACATTCATGCACACAGGCTCAGTGGTGTGAGGAACTGGAATGGAAATGTACTGAGCATATTCATCTGTGGCTGGCACTTCTGAATATTTGATCCTAATTAGTCCTGTTATAATGTGAGCCACTAGCACTCAGATTTAATCTTTTTTGTGTGTGCCTATTTCACTGATGGATAATATTTTAGGGTTGTTAGGCACCTCAAGGCAATCTCCAAAAAGTTATGCAACGGGAACCTGAACCTGCTCGGTTCCAAAATTGATTATCTTTTGAATCCATTAATCTTGTCTGAGAATGATTATGAATAATTCCATGGGCACCCTAGTATTAAAGTTAATTAGGAATTAAAACAGCATTGTAAATATGAGTAAAATAGCATCTGCAAATAACTGCTTCAATATATAGTCAGAGATATAATAGACACATGTAAAAGAACAATGAAAATGCATAAAATTTACTGACAACAGTCACAAATGAAAGACCTAATCAAAATGTTCTTCAGAGCCAGGTACCATCAGCTCACTCCTGTAATCCTAGCTGCTCAGGATGCTATGATCTGAGGACTATGATTCCTGGGCAGGAAAGCCCAGGAAAACTTCTCTTTTTGTCAGTCATAGGGCTTGAACTCCAGGCCTGGGTACTGTCCTTGAGCTCTTCAGCTCAAGGCGAGTGCTCTACCACTTGAGCCACAGTGCCACTTCCAATTATCTAGTGGAATCTTATGGACTCTTCCTGGCTAGGGCTGTCTTTGAACCATGATCCTCAGATCTCAGCCTCCTAAGTAGCTAGGATTACAGGTGTAAGCCACTGCTGCCTAGCAAAATGGGGATTTCTTTTTACCAAATTTTTTTCTTTTCATATATTTGTGTTTGTCTACAGAAGCACATTTGATTTTTTTTTCCTTGTCACTCATGGGACCTGTGAAACTCTTTATCTTCAACTAACCACCAAAAAGCCAGAAGTGGAGCTGTGGCTCATGTGGTTAGAGTGTTAGCACTGAGCACTCAGGGACAGAGCCCAGGCCCTGAGTTCAAGCCCCAGGACCAGCATGAAAATAATATTAATACTACTAATAATTGTGGGTTATAAAATACAAAGATGGAAAGGTTTCTAGCAAGGGATAAAAATGGCTGTGTTCTACTATACATGGCATTGAACTTGAGTCAGAAGACCAAAACATAGACCAATCTTGTGTTGAGTACGTTTCATAATTCTATGTCTCTTGTTTTTGCATCAATAAAATGCAGACAGTATCTACATCACAGGTCATTGTGAACAACCAGTCATTAGACATGTACA